TGTAATCCACACACTTAACATTATTCTGTTGAAAACAGAGTAATGGTAAATGGCAGAGACTGGAAAAATTCTAGTTTTGGTGGTGATAACACAGACTATTGGCAGTAATAGTAATTATTACAGTGGTTGTTATCTTTCTTCTTGACAGTGGCCCTCAAGATGTTGATGAACTATGACTCCCATCACTCCATGCTTTTGCCAATCTGGGCAGGGCTGATGGCAATTGGAGTCCAACATTTGAAAAACCAAATATTACCAGCTCTGCATTACACCTTCTTCTTTGTTGCCGTCATTAAAACTTCAGGTCTATGGGTATCATCCTGTCAGCATCTAAATAGCATCTAATTGTCAGGTATTTTAAACTGATGAAAATGGTGACAATGACCAACATGCGGGACCCACAACCTAGTGCTTCAGGACAGAGTGTATGTGCTCAGGTTTCCAGCAACTCCATCCTATCTCATCATTGCTCTCTTTCTAGCATCCCACTTGTCACTAAATTTGGTTCTTGTGACCAATAATTAAGCAAAGAAAGGTGTTCCGTCTTGGGTGTGTTTTACGACATTTGTTGTACCTCTGGCCTTCCTCAGTCCTCTGTTTAGTTCCCATTTGATGCCCTTTTGGCTACATAAAGATGGGCAGAGAACAAATTCATCATTATCATCATCAAAAAATACGAGGCACAATCAAAATTATAAAAACACATTGATATTATATAGCAGATACAAATTTCAACCAATAATAATAATAACAACAACAGCAGCAGCAGCAACAACAACAACAACAACAACAACAACAACAACCAGGCACAGTCAAAATTATGAAGACATTGACTGGTATTATATAACAGGTGCAAGTTTTAACCCAAAACGTAAGTATCTGTTAAATATCAGCACAGTATGTATGCTGTTCCTAATATTGCAGTTTTTTTTGTAGCTCTGATGGTGTGTTATTCTTATTCTTAAGAACTAGTACGTATTAGGAGAAGGAGGGATGGGAAAGAGAAATCCTTCATTATTGTAGCTCATTCTTGGGTTCATGATAGACTTTAACATCCATCAATACAGAATTAAATAATCAAGTATGGAAAAATCAGAGGACATTTTATAAGTTGCAGTACTAACTCCCTGATGAAAATACTAAGCTTTACAAACAATCAAATGCAGATTCTTGGACTGGATTTTGAATGATAAATTTTCACATGATGTCATGAAGCCTCTGAGACAACATGCAATGTTCTCAGATGTACAGCCAAAGAAGGTCTTCTTGGAAAATCCAACATGTCATGCGATGTGCTGCATAATGGCATGCAGTAATATTAGCTTCCAAATGAAGCTCTCTCAGAAGTTTGTGTTGTTAAGACATTTATCTACAAAAACTGCCTTTTTGTAAAAGACATAAAATAATATGAATTTGAAAATAATTAATAATCATCATGATGATGTCTTGAAAAAATGCAGTTCTAAAGCTAATGATTTTTGATCCATGCACTCCCAACATTTTCCCCATGTTACAGATGATGAATTCGGGGAGAGACTGATAACAGAACTGTTGTTCTCTGAGAACTTTGATATCTTTAGAACACAGATAAGACAGAAGAGCAGCAGTGCTAGCCTGAAAAAGGGGAAATGTTGAGATAGGTCTCTAAGTTCCAAGAGATTCTACACACTCACCTTGTTGGTTCCTTTTGTCACCTGCATCATATGCAGTAGTAACAGTGGATCAAGCCAAAGGAAATGCTGGCATATGGTTATCCTGGAAGAAAATTCAAGAGAACTTCTTTTTTCTCTACTTCATTTTTCTTTTCCCACTAGGAAAAAATGGCATCAAAACAAAGTGTGCACTTTGGGACAAGAATCTCTGAGGAGCTATGCCATTATGGACTGAAGTTCTCTATGGACCAGATGCTCATACATTCAGAAAGTGTTTTGGAAATCAGGATGCTAATCCAGGAAAGTTAGACTTTTAAAAACTTGGGTGAAAATGAGTCAAAATGTCTTTTTGTTCTCTCTAGGAGGCATGGTGAGCCATTTTGCCTTTTTTCAAAGGCACACCCAATACTCCTGGAATTACACATCCACTGTTTGTTTGGGGGGGAAAACTATACTTTTGTCCACCAGAGTGTGCAAGACAACATTTTTCAATTATAAAACACATTTTTGTTGGGATTCCTTTTTTTTACATTGGTTTTGTGAGAAGATTGTTAAAAGGAATTTTGGTGTGTCTGTGTGTCTGTGTGTGTGTGTGTGAGTGAGTGAGAGAGAGAGAGGGAGGAAGAGAGAGAGAGAGAGAGAGATCCTGTAAAACCTATTTTGTTGGGATTATTATTTTTATTTTTATTTTTTGCTTTCTGAATTTTATTTTTCTGGGGCTGGCATTTTGTTTTGTTTTGTTTTGCCCTGTCCTTTTCCTGCTTCAAGAGTTGTCTCCAAAGTCTAGAGCTGGGCAAGTGTAGCCCCCAGACCACTTATGGTTGCCCAGGCCTTACCTAAAGGGGATCATGCCCTATACAAGCACAGGTGAAAGTTGAAATTCTAACACACTCATACTTACTTTAAAACAAGCTCCTTTTAAGCTCGCAGCATTTACTGTGCATCGACTTTAAAATGGTAGCCTTGATTTTGGCTACACTGAATGCTACAAATCACATTTTGATTCGCAAACATGTTCAATCTGCATGGTGTGGTGTTATCAAATTTGTGTTTTGGTTTGCTGGTTTGGGCCAAAGATTGTTAAATTTCCGTCAATACCTCTAGGCCTACCAAGCTGGGATGGGATCCTTCAAATACTGATAGTGCTATCATATGTTGGACATATCACTGAAATGATTGATAACCATATCAGTCACCTGGTCATTTCTTCCCCTTTGTCCATACTCTAGAAGTCTAGATGGCAGTTATGTTTCTTTTTTAAAATGTACTGTACAAGTTTCTTGTGTTTTTCCATGCAATTCTCACCTTAATGCTTTTTTAAAAATGAAAACGCTTTCTCAGAAGTGCAGAACTTCTCCCGAAATTGGAGGTGAGGATTCTTGGTGACCTCATGGCAGCCAGCTTATTGCTGTAAATTTATTTTTGTTTATTTTTAGACCAGGATTAAAATGTTTGACATGAACATGTGGAGGCCACTTCAAACCTCTCCTTGCTTAAGGACAAATGATCCACACTTTGGCTTTTTTTTTTCCTTTCATTTTTCTTAATGTCTAATTTCCCCAGCTGCAAATTGAGTCCATGCTTTCATATACAGTAAGTTTAGAAAGGTGGTAAACTCTTGTCTACAAAAATTCTTTGAGAACCTTTTTTTAAAAATGTGGGCACTTTTCTATGGTATTTTCCTACAGTCCACACTTTTTGCAGGTATCATACCAATGCATTGTGGTTTTGTGTACAGTGGTGCCCCGTATAGCGAGGTTAATCCGTTCCGGATTAACCTTCGCTATACGAAAACATCGCTGTGCGGGTAAGGAAAGCCTATTGGAACGCATTAAACTTAGTTTAATGCGTTCCAATAAGCTTCGAAACTTACCCCTCCAGCGATGTTTTCGCGTCCGGCGGCCATTTTGGAGCCGTCGATCAGCTGTTCGGCAGCTCCAAAATGGCCACCGGACGCCCCAATCGTCGCAAAGCGAGTGCGGCGATTGGGGCTGATCCGTATAGCGATCCCCAAAAAGGGATCGCTGTACGGATTCTTCATTAAACGGTGCGCTTATTAAGTGAGGCACCACTGTATTTGTTGTTTTGTGCCATCAAGTCAGAATCAATCCACTGAGCCTCCTTGACAAAGGCTGGACTCGGTGATCCATAAGGTCCCTTCCAGCTCTGCAGTTCTGGGAGTAGTAGTAGTAATAGTAGTAGTAGTAGTAGCAGCAGCAGCAGCAGCAGCAGCAGCAGCAGCAGTAATAGTGGTGGTGGTGGTGGTGGTGGTAGCAGCAGCAGCAGGAGCAGCAGCAGCTGTAGTATGTTGTATTTATGAGAGGACATGGAGACAAGCTATATCACCACCACCTAAGAAGTGCAAAGCCGGAAAAGATCATCAAGTCCAGCCCCTGCCAAGGAAGCACAGTAGGGAATTGAGCTCCCAACCTCTGATTCCGCAGCCAGATCCCAAAACCACTAAGCTACGCACTCTTATTTTATTACAGCACCAGAGTCTTAGGCCCTGGTCTCATGAGGGGAATGTTCTCTAGTTCTTCAGATAGTTTCCAAACCTCCGTAGTACTGAATCACAGTCACGTAGTACTGTATATATACCAGAGTGAATGTCCCTAAAATGTTTAGGATTAGTGATAATATTTGTTGACAAATCGATATACCAGGGAGGGTTTTCTGTCTGGGATATTTTCTTCTGTTCCACTGGCTGCTGTTGGGGAAATACTTTGCACACCATGGACACAAGAGTACGAGAGCAGCCATAAAAAAAAAAAGCCACACACTTCACAGAAAGCATAAGTACTAAACATAAGTACAAACAGGCAGCTGTGCACAGATGGGGGAGACATGTGGCAATACTAGCAATCACACACGCCCCCATTGACATTGGCATATCAACAGTTAAATGTATCTTCCACAGATTTTTTTTAAAAATTATACACCAATAATGTAATGGTGCCCCCCCCAAGACCCATTTACCGATGTATCAATGTACTGGTTGTAAAAAAAAATTAAAATTAATAAGCACACCACAGTAATGGTGACCTGACTTCATTTCTGAAAAGAAGCGGGGCAGGAATGCACCTGTGCAACAGAGGTACAAAATAGCACAGCCCTTGCCATGAGGGGAAATGCTCCACAAGATATACCACTGGCAGGGAAAAGGTTTTGGTCCTGAGTGTGCATGGTGTGACCAGGGGAAAGAAAAGCAACAAACTAACTTGGGGACATCTAGAAAACATTTCCCTCATACGACCAGGGCCTCTGTTATACATTTAGGTTATTTTTTTGGGGGGGGGGGGAACTGCTACAACATTTTCTGATATTAAGCAGCAGCAGGAAAAACTGAATCTAACCCATTTGTTCAAACCGTTTTAGGCCAAGTGCTTTGACCAAGGCTTTCTTCACTTCCTTATTTCTTAGACTGTAGATCAGAGGGTTCAACATAGGAGTAAGAATTCCATACAGCATGGAAACAATTCTGTCTTGCTTGGGGGAATAAGAAGCGACAGGGCAACCATAGGTAGCAATGGTAGCCCCATAAAAAAGGCAGACGACAGTCAAGTGGGACCCACAGGTGGAAAAAGCCTTGCGCCTGCCCTCAGCAGAGCGCATGCGCAAGATAGCAGAAATAATATAGATGTAAGAGATCAGGGTGACCAGAAAAGCACCACCTCCTGTGATGCCAGCCACAAGAAGGCGGACTAGTTCAGGGAGAAAGGTAGAAGAGCAAGAGAGAGCTATGACTGGTTGAAGGTCACAGTAATATTGGTTAATTTTGTTGGACCCACAGAAGGATAATGAAAAGGTCAGTGAGGTGTGAACCATGGAATTGATAAAGCCTGTTAGCCATGTCCCAACAGCCAGTTGAGCACACAGCCTTTTACTCATGATGTTTGTGTAGTGCAAGGGGCTGCATATTGCCACATAGCGGTCGTATGCCATCACAGCCAGCAAATATATTTCAGTGCCCACCACATCAATCAGAAAGAAGAGTTGCAGCACACAGCCAGCAAAGGATATGTGCTTGTCCCCTGACAGGAAGATCTGGAGC